TTTGCTTTTAAAAAGGGAAACTAGGGTTGGGATTAAAAAAGGAAAAAAAAGGATAAAAAAAAAAAAAAAAAAAAAGAATGGTTGACGGTGTGAGACTGGTTCATGTGTTGGGCTGTAGTACAGGAGAGGAAACTGAAGGAGGAGAAGATGGAAGAGGGAGGAAGCAGTCTATCAGGAAAAGAAGAAAGAGACGGAGAGAGAAAGAAGCCCTATTAAAAGAAATGACACCGTCATGGTTCACTGAGTGCCTGCACTGGGCGGCAGTACCCTTGTGCTTAATGCTTTCTGGCTGTCAGCGCCACAGTCAGCAGCACTGCCTGGCTGCTCCCACGGGAAAGTGTGTTGGTCTATGCTCTCGATTAACTCTGCGGCTTATTAGAATAGATACTGGAAAAGGACTCAGCCGAGCGGAGAGCAGATCTGATACAGTGGCGACGCGGCACACTGTAATCATATCGTGAAGTGTAATTTTGATAGTTCCTCCACAAGACGGATCAGTGGTGCAGACGCAGCAGCGGTGCCATCAGATTATTTTACTACACCCACATTTGATCTCTGCTACACTCGGCTCTGAGCTGACACACTGAAGCCCCCTTTAATTGTCTTATTGGCATTTAATTTTCCTCACATGATTTAGAATTCAGATCTGTGTATGTCAGAAGTGAGAAAAACGCTGTTTTCCTTCTGCGTGAAGCGGCATCTGTGAAAGCCACCCATCTCCAGGGAACACCCTGCTGCAACTACTGAGGGAAGGAGTTTGAGAAACAGCTCAAAATTTAAGCTTTCATTTTCAGGCAAAGTGGTTAAAGATGCCTGAAATGCCTCTTTAAGAACACTGCAGAGAGAGAGAGGCCACTTTGGTGGCAAATTCTGACAAGAAGCAGTGTTTATTAATCTCTGATGTTTTCATTTCTTGCCTCAGAAGACAAGGAATTCACACGGCTGCTGACATTCTTATTAGTTTGTAGACTCTATTTAAATTAGAGGGAGTCCAACTGGGCTTTTGTTCTTGAGATGGAGAAAAAAAGGGAGAGAGCAAATAGAGTGGGAGAGAGTGGGAGTGAGGGAGAGAGTGATCTTATCCAGGAGATGTAAGGACGTGAGCCTGGAAAATAAGGCTGACGCTGCCACATTATGTTTCCATATTAGCATTTCAGAGGAATTGCAGAGAGATCTGCTCTAAAACAAAAAGGCTGGATCAGCACTGACTGACAAAACCAAACTCTGTTCAACGGGGGAAAAAGAAACACTTCCTCCTCCTGCTTTTCTTTCCACACGCACCCATCCAGAACACCAGCTAAATATGAAATGGCTGTCAGGCTTTTATTAGGTCTGGTACTTTGTGGCCTCGAGTCGTTCTGGGTACCAAGACTTTGAATGGTATTCTCCACTTTTTGCACATATTGTAACGGAATAGAATCCCTTATTTGTCCCACAATGGGGAGACTCAGAGTGCAAGTCTTTGCAACCCACGCAGGCTGCCACACGGAAGGCGATCACTGTGTATGTGGTTCCTCTGGGGGTCAAACCCAGAACCATCTGCATGTAAGGCAGATGTGTAAGACAGGCGTGATAACCCGCCACACTATGGAACCACATGCTCCATCAGTGTCGGCCATGCTGGTTTAATCCTTTGTTTGTATTTGGTCTCGTTTCCTCCTCTGGCCCAGAGTTATGAAGTCTGTCTTCAAACAGAGTTTGTCTCAGTAAAACCTCAGATATGTTTCTGATTTAAGGCCATTTATGAAAGTGTTCTAGAAAGTCAGATTTGAATAGAAATTTGCATAAGACAATATGAGAGACCTTATAGGGGTATGAATAAACATACTATAGTCTAGGATTGCTGGTTCAAATCCCATGACCGGTAAGACTTAAACTCCAGGCCTCCTAAAGTACAGAGCACTGCTCCTGGTTCTCAGTTGGGTTAAACACAATTTCACTAGTTCTACAAATGGATAGTGATATCCTGTTACAGGAAAAGACCAGAAAAGACACTTTCGATTTCAGCACAAAATTAAATAAATCTTCAGAACCTTCTTGGTCTGACATTTTGTAATGCCTTTCAACTGAAAACCAAACACGTTCTGCAGAGACATAAAATAATGATCGTCTGCTTCCTGTTCTCGCCTCGAACAACTAACCATTAGACTGTCCACTGCTCTCTTTGTCAGATTTCCTCCAAGTGGAACATGGCACAGGGATCCCGGCCGTGCACTTGTCAGCCTGACCTGCTATTAAATGCCACCATCATTGGAAGAAAACAGCGATGAAACGCATGTTAGTGCTGAGGTTGGACTTTCATTCACAACCTCTGAAAAGCTCCACTCAACGCAACCCCATAACCACTCCAGTCGTCTGGACGACTTCCAAAAGCCGCCTATAGTCTTCACTTACACGGAACGCTCCGGTCCGGTGCTTTTACTGGTGCTTTCACCCCCCCCTCACCTTTTTCGTTAACATTCTCCTTGTTCCTCTTTTCAAACTTGTTTTTCTTCATGGCTCTCGTCCTGGAGGACGAGGAGAATCTTTGTGAAAACCTCCTCTAAAGGACAACTCTCTCCATTGATGAGCACGATTCCTGAGTTCTTTGACAAAGTCACTCCATCCTGTATAGTCTTCAACCCACTGCCTTTCAGCACCAGTTAAGCTGCACACAGTGATGGGACTTGTGTTTACTGCGGTCAGCAGGTTTATTATGGTTTTTATTGCCTGGGTTGCTGCTGTTTCCTTCTGATTTCTCTGTAATGTGTCCTGGGGTGTTTCCTTCTGATTTCTCTGTAATGTGACATCTCCTGGGAAAGTTTGTAAAGGCAGGCAAAAGCCGTCAAAGTTCTCTTTCAGCTTTTTTTTTTTAACATTGCCTTTGTACATTATTTATCAGTGGGGTCATACAAGGTAAATGGCTGTCGGGCATCATTGTTCCTCTACTGAACCCCGAGGATGTGGTTTCTTGTTCTTATTTTTTTTTAACACATAACTCCTGCCTTGGTCTGGATGGAATAACTCACCTCTGAGACAACGACTGAAGTCTTTTCTTTCACTGCACTGAATTTCCGTTTCAGGTGCGTGACTGGGCGACTGGTTGCCAGATCTAGTGAGAGAAACGAGGAAACAGGTCAACAAAAGCAAGGGCCAAAACAACTGTCCCTCCAACCATCACACTTGGAGATGGAGACATTTTTAGACATTAGTATTTAATCATTTTTAGTATTTAAGCAAAGTCCAACCAAATCAAAGCAACATTACTACAAGTCAACAAAAAATGTTAAAATCTCAGACTCTGAAGTCCGTACAAACGCTCCAAAATTATTAATTTATTTCAACTGGAGTGTAAGAGTGTTAGTCTGACCCAGTTTCTCCATTATCACCAAATGTTAAAAATGCAAAAAAGGGAAAAAATGAGCCTTAAAATGAGAAAACCCAGTTTATCCCGAGGCCTGGAGGGTGGTGGTGGTGGGGGTTGAAATGAAATCTATCGAGAACAGGAAATCCGTTTGCCAGGGAAGGAGACATTCAAGCCTTTCTTGATGTATTCAAGCTCCCCTCGTCCACCAAACACCTGCCTTCACATGCTCCTTGGCTTCTGTCCCGACGGCCTCATAACACTGCAGGTAATAGAGTCATGAGGCAGGTATTACCGTAGTTGGATATGCAGGGAGGAGAGTGTCTCCTCTCAGTGGGACGGAAGAGATTTGTCCTCAGTTTACTGTCACATGCTCAGCTCCACAGTGGCATTATTTTTGTTCGGGCGCATGAACGCATTCCTTTGGTGAATCGGCTGAAAAGATAATATCATTATTTATTTCTTTGGAATTCTCCAATAAATTATGAATTAAAAGGGGCTGCCAGTTTTTTTTTTTTTTAATTGTGGACTGTCAGTTCTCACTGCCGGCTGTATAACTGGGGAATGATTTAATAGTGCAATTAAAATGCTGTCAAGGGTTTGCAGTGTTTTTTGCATTTAAATTCTATTATTGGCAGCCTTGAAGGCAGCCAGTATTGTCAGGGACGACATTCTGCTGTCACTCAGCTGTGGCTGCGCTGGCATTAAATCAAACTGCAGACAAACTGATCATTTGCTAAAACAATCTTCTAATCAGTTTTGGCCAGGCATAGTTTTGCAAGTATCTTAGCACGTTAGATGTGTTAATTGTTTGATTTATGTGTGTTCCAGTGGTGTGGAATAATGAATGCAATGATAGCAATACTCGGCATTTGCAGTTCACAGGGTGTAGCCCCTTTTTAAAACCCAGAACACAAGATGAAGACATGAATATGTGATGGACAGAAGGAAATAAATAACAGCTGTAGAAAACATATTTTTACATTTGTCCTGATCCCGTACCACAAGGTGAATAAAGGCTGGGGTGCAGAGTGTCGGTGTTAAATCAAGACAAACTACAGGGAGGACAATAAGCAGGAAAACTTTTGTCACAGAGTCGTTGTCGTAATAGTTGAGACTAAAGCTGAGAAAAAAAAACAACAACAATAAACTGGTTTAAAAAACTACAAGAGCTCTTTGGGACAAAGGTGAATCAAAAGACATAAACCTTTTTATAAGGCAATTGGAAACCAATGAAGCTGCTGTGGGCCAGTAAAAATGACTAAAGAGCCCTGATCTGGCCCACAGGCCTTAAGTTTTATACGTAAATAAAGAGCCGTAAGTGGTCATTAAGAGTAAAAAAAAAACAAACAATATAGTAGACAATGTAACATCAATGGAGGTAGTGGCAAAAAGACAGGACTGCACATAACACAGAGTACTGTACTGTACTGTACTGTACCAGTCCACTTAAATCATGTTTAAGATGATTCAAATATCTAGCCATCGTTAGAGACATTAAAGTAAATGACTGGATTGAACCTTGGGCTTCTTAACAAATGTATAGAAAACTGCGTTTATTTTTGCGAACTAACTCCAGTGAATAGCACTTCCTGTCGGTGTCACTGCGTGTTTCCCTGGTGTTAATTACTCCATCCTTCTCACTTATCTCCCACCTTTCACTACAGATGCTGCAACAAACAAACTGCAACCGTTTGAGTCATCTTTCATGAAAGGCAGAGTAATTATTCCAAACATTCCTTTTTTTCTTCTTCTCCAGACATTTGCCATGAATGACCTAAAGTGTTCTGGAGCCTCTGGAGCATCTTAGAAATGTTTGTCTATGAGTCCATTGACGGATGGCAGCGCTGATGGAAGGCTGAAGGTTTCCTTGCCGCAGTAGGAGGCTGGAATCATGATTAATTTAGTCTTGTTTTGGAAGCGCAGGAAACCACAAAGAAGCTCATTACAATCAGCTGGGTTTTGTCACAGTCTTGGCTCCCACCAGTCTCCCATAGAGAGGCAGAGCGATACCACCTATCTGAATATGTATCGATGATGATTGCATGATTTATGCATGAATGTCATGCCTCCTCAGAACCATGACGCATCAGAATTAGGTCTTTTGTCACTGTTTTCGTGAGATGTTTGTTTTAGGCGCTGGAGTGCATCACTCACATAGATAATGATCGGCTTTTCATGGCTATTTGTTAGATAACAGTGGATTGTTTGAAGATTTACCAAAAAGTTTGTACTGAAAAGAGTCATGTGGGAACGTGTGAGACCTCCTGCTGGCTTTCAGACGTCACTGCGTTTTTTCTTCTTCTGTAATTAGCCGTCCATTACCTCCTGACCTCTCAGCCCTAAAACCTGAAAGAAAGATGATGATTGATGGTTACATAAGCGCCACGGAGGAGATGTGTGCATTAACCTTGTAGTGAGCTCATCTCACGTGGGTGTTGACTCACACAGAGCTGACCCGTCTCTCAGCCTCGGTGAGAACATCAGAGCTTTGATTTAGGATTTAAGAAATGATCCGTTGGTCAACTTCTGCATTTTTAGTAACAACCACCGTCTGTAGCGTATGTTCTGTGAATCCAGCGATTGTTACGAGCGTTCACATCTGTACTTGGAATAGAAACCATGCTAAAACAACAAAAATAGCCCCCTAAAAAATAAACATTTCAATGGGTATTAAACACCAAGGCAATAGTGCCTGAGCAGATGGCAGAATAACTGTTTGGTTCTGTGAAAAATGTTTCAGCAGTGAGGACTTTGGCAAAACAGAGCGTGGGTTAAATAATTTAAAGAGAACAGAATCAGTGATTGCGGCAGACGCCTGCTGTAATTAGAGGAGCTCCCAAACCAAAGTTAACTTGTTAAATTCATTTGTTGACGGTTGTAAACAGAACTTATAAAGAACTCTTTCGCAGCAGACAGAGGCATGAATGGTGACGGGTTTTTAATGTAAAAGGAAATGAATTTGTCCAATTAGTGATTAAACCACAGCAGCAATTGTACGACTCATTCCCAAAGTGCAGAACACAGTGGGGAAATAAAAATAGACAGAAGTCTGAGCTATTGAAGAGGGAAACTACTGAACTGGAGCTCCATAAACTCTGTTGACCCAGCTCATCTGTTTGGACACAATTCTAATCTGTTGACCCAGCTCATCTGTTTGGACATTCTAATTCTAACATCAAATTTAGGACTAAACCATGTGACCCAACCTTTCACGAAACATCAATTCTAACTCACCCTACTGGGAGAACTAAGGTAAAGAAGAAGCTAATGCTATGGTTTAGGACTGTTGAAGAAAAACAAACTCTACTGCATACAGAGTAAGTCGGACCCACATGCTGTTCATCAGTACCTATGTCACACTAACACTGTGATAACATAATCTTTGACATAAAAACAAAAAAAAAAAGGAAAAAAAGTTCGCAAAAAAAACCAACACAAGTGAGAGCAAACAATTGTAGCACAATGTGTGTAGCGTACAACCGGCGGATGTAAACAAAGCTGTCTTCCACATATGGCGGGATGTGATGACATATCCTCTCGCAAACTAGTTCCCTTACTAAATAGTTGGCAAGTTTTAACGCCATACGTCTTTCTGGATCAATTTAAGGGAGGTGGCAGGAGCACGGACCACTGTTCCACCCTTTTTACACTTACAGACTTCCTTCATCTCTGAATAAATGACACTGATGTGTGAATTGTACGAGAGACATTTTTATAATTGGCAAAACCACAGATGTCGACCTGAGCTGCTGCCCCGCCCCATTTCAACATGACTAGTGCAGCATTTCTCAGTTTCTAAGTTCCGACTCTCAGGTAGCCGGCCTTCACCCACAGACCAGTTTGCTGCTCGGCTCAATCAATCGTTGCAGCAACTCCATAAAAGTACAAACCAATCTGGAGTCTTTGATGTTGGCGGGCAGCTCCCTCTCTCCCTCTCTCCCTCTCCCTCTCTCTCACACCTCTCACTGCAGACGTGTATGTATTTTCCCCTTCTTGCTCATTTATCTCCACCCACGCTTCCTTCGCTAGCAAACTTTTTTCTCCTCTCTTCTCCGCTCCACCTCACTCTCCTATTCCTCTACGTTGAGCCACTTCTCGTCTTCTCATATTTCTTTCTTTCTTTTTTTCTTTCCACCTCAGGTCCACAGACTGATTTAACAAGCGCCTGCAGCCTGGGCCGTGAGTGTGGCAGCTGTGGAGAAGAGGCTGATGTTGCCCTCTTCTACAGGAGAGTGAATCCCAGGCAGGGAGTCTCCAGATGGGCTCTGTTTGAAGCACTTCACTCCAGGTTCTCCTAGATGAGCCCCATACGGAATAGAACTGCTTATGCTGATGCTAAATGCAGATTGAGGGTAATTAATTACCTGACTGCTCTTTGATTTTTATTTACCCTCTACCCTTGATATTTTCCCTCCAGAATGTGCAGTATTTAAACTATGTTTCTCAGATTGTCCCACATCGTTGAATCCGACTGTGTTTTTTACAACTACGAAAACAAAAAAACTGAACTTTGTCCCGGTGCATTTTCAGTGCGTGACAAATGCTCTGATCTATTCCTGCCTCACTGCCTCTCTCCTAACTTGAACAGACTGCTGGTATTCTTCCTGCGTGCCTCGGTGCTGACACTGCTTTCCTCTGCATCCCATTGATTCAGGAGCAGTGAGTGATGGATGGGTTTAATAAAGCAAGGTGCAGTCCCCCAAATAAACGAGCAAATGCAGGATTTATTAGCAACATCTGCATTTTAAGGGGAGAAAACAGAGCCTGGGGTGGAAAACACACAAGTTTCACTTTTCCCACAACACAAACTCTAGGCCAGAGTTTAGAATCCTCTGCTCATCCAGGCCTGTGCAAATCTGCACACACACATACAGCACAAAAACATGTGTCTTCCATTTAAGGTATCATCAAATCATTCTTTTTACCGCTCTTGTCTTTCCAGCTGTCATGGGTTTCTTAGACCCCAAGTACTTATCACTAGATCAAGAGTGTACAACTCGTGGCTCCTGAGCCACATGTGGCTCTTTATCCTCTTTACATCATGTCCTTGAAAGACCATGTTCAACTCATGCATCAAATGGACCTGCTATTGTTCTTTCTTTTTTTCTTTATAAAAATAACCCAAATCCAGCTTGCTTGCTAACAGCAGAAATAATGTCTCTCTATTCTAGTGCAGGATCAAGTGTGGATCTCTAAGGTAGACTGAGAACTGTTCACTTCAGGTCACTGTTGGTGACCCTGCTTAATACTGCATGCTGTGTTTATGTGAAAAAAAATAATTTTCTTGTTTTTTCTCTGCTATAAATTTCTAGTAGATTCTCTGGCTCCAGGTCAGGACCTCATTCTATGCCCATTTGAAGATTGAATTTGAGGTCTTTTTTAAATGTCTTGCATTTAAGGGTGTTTAAAATGTTGATGCTATGAGTTAAAAA